CGCGCTTCTTTGGCCCGGCCGCAGACCCCAGCCCGGCCTCGGCGCCCGGCGCCCGGCGTCCCGGCCCCCGCGCCCACTGTTGCTGCTAATGCCGCCGCTGCTGCTGCTACCGCTGCTCGCCGCCCCTGGCGCCTCTGCCTACAGCTTCCCCCAGCAGCACACGTAAGTGGCCTCGGCTGGTTGTGGGACCCCGGCGGAGCCCTGCGCCCTTTCCGCCCCCCGGTCCGCGCCGGTCCCTCCCCGCGCCTGCCGCCGGGCCTGGGGGTGGCGGCCCCAAGCCCAGAGGGCGGGCAGACGCGGTCCCGGCGCTTCTGGCTGCGTCGCGAAACTTCCCCGCGGTGCCCCTTCTTTCCCCAACCCCCCAAACTGGGCAGAGCAAGATCTCCAAGCCTCGGGATGAGGTGGTGGTGGTGGGGGTCCAAGCTTGCCAGCTGATTCCCTTGCCGCTGTCCCAGTTAGAGGGGAACCTGGGGTTGGGTGAGGGGGCAACCAGCGACCCCTGCTCAGCGGAGTTGGAGCCGCGCGTCTGTCCCACGTTTCCTCCCTGGTGGGAACCTCCAGCCAGAGGTGGGGGGGCACCTTCAACCTGTCTTCATTGCTCTTTTCCTTTGAGGAGGAGGGCTAGATGCAGAGGATGCGAGCAGCTTCTTGTTGTGGCTAGTGCCACAGAGGGGATCAGTGTCTTGGGCCCCCCCACTCCACCTGCGGGGAGTCCCCTGGAGAGCCCAGTTGAGAGGTGAAGGTGCTGGGGTGGCGGCAGAAGGTGAATGGCAGGGAGGACCCCTGCCTGCCCCTGCTACTGCTGCCAATAGGGTAATAATATCTCCTAGCCCTGCCAGCTTCTGTGGGTTCTCCGTGGTCCTTCTGAGCCTTCTCTTCCTCTCCAAGAGCCCACAAACTCGGGCATCCTCCTTGGGGTGAGCTTGGCCACATGTGTCTGAGGCTGGAAGTGGGTATTCAGTGCATGTGGCCTTTAGGACAGCAGCTATTTCCGTGGGCACCATGCCCCAGCTTTATGTCAGTGCCCCGACACCCCTCCCTGCTGTGGCTTTGTGGCACGGTGACCACCTTGCTGCCGGTTATCTGTCTCTGGGTCTGAGGAGCCACCTGTCCCTGGACTCCTTCACCAGTGGCCAGGCTGGAGGTATGGGAAATGAGTAGCTGGGCTGGTAGTGGCCAAGGGGAAGGGTCTGGCCTCAGGTAAGGGGAGAGGCTGGCTTTGCATCCTTAGACCAGTCCTGCCCTAGGGTAGGAGCCCCTGGTTCTGCCTCAAAACCTGCTAGGTTCTCCCTGATGAGGGAAAAACAAACTCTGAATGCCACTGCTCTGAGTCTCCCTCCGTCTTGTCATCTCTCTTCTCGCACAGCCTGGCTGTGCTCAGGCGGGTGATCAGTTGGTGAATTACAGGTGCTGCACGGACGTGTCCTCTGTCAACCGTCTGGATTTTTCGTGTGTGTGTGAGGGGGTGCGCAGGGAGAAGAGAAGCATATGGAAGTTCAGGGCTTGTGGGTGCATTATTGTCTTTTATTTGCTGTGATGAAAATGGACTTAAGTCACAATGTTTAAAAAGAGCAAAAGCATAATTTTTTTGTCGTTCTTTTTTCCTCAAAGCCAAGCCATGGTTATTCTTTCCCTAGCCGTTGCATAGCTCCTTGAGTGAAGGTATCAGGAGCCGTCTCTTTTCACCTCTTCCCACCTCACCCCCTCTCCTTGCAGGCTGCAGGGGGTCAGATGGCTGTTGGGCCTACATGGGTCTCCCTTGAAAGGCCATTGTGAGACCCTGAGCGGAGTGGACACCTGTCCCTCTGTCTCCAGCCCGAAGATGGTGAGGCGGGTATGATGGCAGCGGCACATTTCCAGCTGGACGCTCTTTTCTTGTCGATGTAGTTGGAGCTAATTTGAGGGTTTGGGACATGTCTTGCAAACCGTAATTAGAGAATGAGAGTGGGGGTGGGGTGGGAGCTGCACAGCTCTCAGGGTCTAGGAGGAGGTGACTAATGTGCGACGACACGTGGGGTTTGCCGTGACAGCCAGCGCCCTTCGGCTGCCCTGGTCCCGCAGATGCGGATCCCCATTCATCCTTGGAGGGAGGAAGGGAAGGGAATCGAGGGAGGGTTCCCTTACCCGATCCTGGCTAGTTGGAGTTGGGGCTTTTGTTGAACTGACATGAAAGGCTGAGGCTGCTGCCGTGGGGCTGCTCAGGGGTGGGTGGCCTCCCTGAACTCTCCTGGGTCAGCGTGGCCAGGCTAGGATGAGATTTTGATACAGGTGGCTTTGTGAGGTGGGAAGTGGGACCCTCAGCCTCACGGCACTGTGCTGACGACCCCACAGTGGAGAGAGCCCTTGACGAGAAAGTCATTTCCTCATTAGCAGTGTGACAGGGCCCTGGCAGTGTGACAGGGCCCGGCTTCCCAAGCCGCTGGGTTTTAAGCAAGTGTGGGGTTGGGGTCCGGTGGCTGTCATTTCTGTCATCGCTCTGGCAGCGTGGCTCTCTGCCCACCAGGCAAAGTGGACCAAGGCTGCTGCTGGATGGAGGAAGGCAGAGGAGTTACCATTGGAGGGAGGACAGGGCTGTGGTTTTGGGGGGGCTCTCTCACCCCACCTGGACGTGGATCAGGGTTTCAAACAAGGAGGAGGCCGCGCGTGCACAAGCACATGTCTGCATACGTGCACTCGTGTGTCTGGGGGTGAGTGGGGGAGATGGAATCAGAGCACACACATTCCTTTTCACCTGCTTCCTCTCATTTCCAGTTCTGCTCACCCGCGTTCAAGCTGCTGCTGGCCAAGGGGCAGCCGTCACTGCTTTGCCTGCCTTGTGTCTTTTCCTCTCTCAATCCTATCTGTCCTCTCCTTCCTCCCCTGCCCCCTTCCTCAGGTCTCTCATCTGTTCTCCCCTCAACCCCTCCCCCCACTTCCTTGCCCATCCCTCTCATCTCTCTGTGCCCACCCTGCCCTGCCTGCCTCTTTTGTCATCTCTTCGACCTCTGTCCGCTGTTCTCTGGCATCCCTGGGTTTCTCTGTCCCCTGCTCTGAGGGATCCTGGCTGAGTGCTGGGTGGAGTGCCCAGCTGGCTGGACCCTCTTAGCCCCACTCTGCCCCAGTGATGGTGCTGGCCAGCGCCTCCCTTCCTCTGGTGGTGGGTGGGTGGGTGGGAAGCAGATAGGGGCCTGAGGGGTCTGGACCCCCCAGCATATTAATGACAGCCAGAGTACATGCTCCTTTTCCTGAGTGCCCATGACAGGGCATGCGTCGGTCTAGCTATGGTCAATGGTGGGTGATGTGTGTCTGTCTGGGCCTCCGAGCCCACGTCTTCACCCCCTCATGGCTCTCCCTATTAGAGGAGGCAACATCACACATCTGGGTCCCCCATCTCCCCAACAACCTGCCACAGCTTTTGCAGGAGGGAGGAGGGGGTGAGGCTTCTCAGCCTGCTGCTGCCACCGCTGGCATGCAGAGCTGCCAGGTGCTCCCATCTCTCCTAATGTTGAGGATTTTGTTGAGGGGGAGACCCTTGGCTGCTGTCCCCACCTAGGACCCACCTTTATTGAGCCAGCTCTGTCAGGCTAGTCCCTGAGAAGAGAGGGGGCCATTTTAAGGTGAATACTCTCATAGTCTGCTGGTGGATCTCACTCTGGATTCTCAGTCACACTAGTGTCCCCAAGGAGAGACAGACTCATGAGTGGAGTGAGCACGTCTGCACTCAGTGCGCCTTCTCCCTTTGCCTGTGGGCACGTGGGCACTGCCAGCTCTTTGCACCTCAGATGTGTATGGGTGGACCCTGCCAGCTCCTGGGAGGAGGCAGTTTGGGGACAGGCTGAGTGTCAGGCGTAGGCCCTGCTGGCTCAAGCTTTGGTCTCCAGAACTGACCCTCTCCATTGGGATGACCTTGCCTCAGTTTCCCCAACTAAGATAATAGGATCTGCTTAAGAGGCTGGTGGTGAGAATTAATGGGAGAGGGTGTATCCTCTGGTGGGCAGGGAGGGTTCCGTGGGTGGGCGCCATGGCAGCTGTTGTTAGCATGAGCATCAGACCCTGATGCTGCATACTTTTCTCCGGGGTTTAGATCCCTCCTTAAAGGTCTCATACCCACACCTCCTGGAGGTGTGCCACTGGGTTGTGCTACTAGCTCAGGCTGTACCCAACCACATGGGATATCAGCTTCTTGAGGACAGACACTGGGCCACCTCCCTGCCTCACTGCCTGAAGCCCAACTTGACCATGAAGGAGAACATCCCCAGCCTAATGGTGGCCCCCCCTCACTGAGCTCAGGCCAGGCCCCTTACCCCTATTACCACCTTGACCTCAGAACCCATGGTCATACCCATCCCACAGATGGGGAGACTGAGACTCAGAAAGATGAAGGGACCTGCCCAAAGCCGCACAGCTACCAGAGGCAGGGCTGGGAGAAGACTAATCTGCAGGTACTTAGCTGCCCTGCCATGGGGCTGGGCACATCTGGGCAGTGAGCCCAGGAAGTTGGGGGTGGGGACTCAAAATGAAGAGGCCTAAGATGTGTGAGGCACGCCTGGACCTCCCAGCTGTCACCGTTCCTGCTATCTCTCTGTCTTCTTCTGGGTCTCAGGTAACCCTGGGGGGCCTTCCTTGGCCCAAGGCTGTCCTACCAGCCCCAGTGCTCATAGCCTCATACCCACCTCCACCCCCTCCCACGTATACACAGGTGATCACAGAGCCCCTCTGCCCCTGACCCAGGTTTTTCTCTTCTCTGAGGCTTTGAATCATGGGCCAGGCCTGCCTGGAATGGAGGAGTGGGCAGGAGGGACTCCATCTTGTGACGCTGAGATACCGTCTCCCTCTCCCGATTCCAGTATGATTCCGAAGAGAAAGGTCATGGGGGTGTGGGTTAGGGTTGTTAATGGAAACCTGAGGCTGGATCCTCTAGTCCCTCTACAGCTGTGTCATGCGACTTCAGAGGACTCGGACCTTATAGGCGCTTGGGTTTTTGTGCTGTCTGGACAGGTGGGGCCTGGTGCTGGGGGGCCGGCGAATCAGAGTTCTCATTGCTAGGAACAATTCAAGGAACAGCTGGAGGTTTGGAAGTCAGTGCAGGTAGGCTTGTGGCATGGGCCTGTCTGGCAGGGTGGTGTTGTCTGTGGTTGGGGGATGGTCTCTTTCTTTCTCCTTCCCCTTCCAGCACCCCACCC